TATGAACACATTCATACCACATATCTAGAAAACATAAATTAAAGAAAAGTAAAATAACAACTAAGTAATAAACAAAAATTATAGACAATAAATAATAATAAAATAAATTAAAAAATAAAATAAACCATTAAAAAAACTGGTGCGTTAGGCGCATCACATATCTTTCACTTACCATCATCTTCTTATCTGAAATAAGTGGTGTTAGACCAAGGGCAAGTGAAAGTAAAAATTATAAAAGCTATATTGAGTTATATCTCATTGTGGATATTTTTATTTATTTAAGTATCCTTACATATACAAATTTTAATATTTATATCGCTTTAATCTATACAATTAAATATTAAATAATACCAACGAGTTTTTCCTTTTTTTAAAAATATTATTTTATTTTAATAAACATCTATAATTATTTATTATTGTTAATTTTTTCTTTTAGTTGGTCACATAACAGCGTTAAGAAAATTGCTTGGGATTCTATCCTTTTCTAATGAATAGCACTTTCGAAAATTTTATGCCGTTTCGCCAGTAATTGAAAAATGCCATAAATTTCTTCTTGAGTCGTAAATCAATTTTTTTTATTATAAGCAATAATAATTTGAGAATATTAATCTCATTTTCAGGTCATGGAGTTCTTTAGAAGGGCCGAAGTGTCGTTTAAAAAAAAAAAAAAAAAAAAAAAAAAAAATCTTTGCCTTGCACACAGTGGTTACGAAAGTTCCATTTTTCATGTGCCGTAACCGTTTCGAAAAATAAAACATGTTTAAAATTTAGGCCTCGTTTAAATATCCCGCCACTCATTCAGTAAGAGCTCGTCAATGTTTTTTTTTTTATGGCACTAAAATGGATTTAGCAACCGAGAGGCTACAAAGAGCCCGAAATGAAACGAGTTGGAATTGGCGATATAATTCAGCTTAATGAACTATATTTCATGAGAGCCCATTGTACGGCGACGTGCGTTCGGTTCGCTGCTTCCAAATGCACTTTGATAAATCGTCGCGAATGCTCTGGCTGTCTTTGTTCAGTACAGAGTTTTCTGTGTATCTTTATGATGTCACATTATATTAGTCTGTTAAGTGTTAAGTTATCGTGACAACGCAGAAATAAAACAACAGAAATAAACAAATTATTACACAATGGTTTTCTTATATCCAAATAATTACATCATGTATCAAATGATTCGATTAAATCCAAAGTGAACTCTGATCGATGTTTTTGCACATCGAGAATGGTTTTGCATTCGATTCCCATGTAAAACAAAAAACAATTAATCCGATGGTACAATTTAAAAAAAAAATTAAACTTAAATAATAAAAAGAAATGTATGAACATAACTTTATATCCGAAATGAGACATGATTTATCATACGCGCAAACTTTCGAGAGAATAGTGTTGCCCAAAAATCGGTCTTATTTTGCAAGACCAAGACCAACACCGCCTATCTGTTGCAAGCCCAAGACAAAGAATGTTAAAAAAAATCGATTTTTTAAATAAAAATTGAGGTAAAATAGTTACTAATGCTTGACAATTTTAGTTACTATAAGTAAAGAATTGATGTAACCACCAATATACTTTTGACTTTAACTCTTCTAATTTTTCATTCAGACTTAGTTAGGTTTCTCATATCTAAAAAATTACAGTAATATCTCTCTAGCACTTTAATATCATAAGTTGATAGGTAATTGCAAGACTGTTATGAGAGTCTTGCGGAAGACCAAGACATATACCAAGACTGGGTTTGCAAGATCAAGGCTTGTCTCGGTCTCACATTTGGGCAACACTACGGGAGAGAGTGTTGAGGGGGAGAGAATATCGTTTCCCCTCAAAAATTTTAGTTAAAACAATAATGAAAATTAATAATAAATAAGCTACCTGAATGAATAATATGTGTGAACTGAATTCAATTATGAAAAATCGACTATTTAGTAACTATTTTATCGATACTTAGAAGTTACTTTTATTTAAATTTTCGTTTATATTGAAAGATAATAATATTTATCAACATATCCTAGGATTTGATGATTCAATCACGCCTCAATTTTCACTTGATATTCTTATCACATATTCCGCGGCATTCCGTCTGTGAAAAACATATGTTTTATTTGAGGTTGTACCCACTGAGAAATGGAAAATATTTTTCACATGTTTACATTATTCATTTTTAACTGAAAAAGTGATACTTGAAATGTAGAAATGTTGATACTAGAAATGTATCAATATTATGAAACAAATAAATAAATAAATAAATAAATATATATATATATATATATATATATATATATATATATATATATTTATTTATTTATTTGTTTATTATCATTATGAGTGCCTTTACTTTGAAGAGATGAAGAAATTGGTCTTAAAACGTTGTTTTTTTTTTATTTACTTTTTTAAAACTTTACCACGAAAACAAATAAACAAGATATCTGGTGTTGAATTTATCGATAAACAAACATTGCGCGTAGCGTAAACAATATTACGAAATCGGATTGGTAAGACGTTGAAAGTTGACCAAAAGTTGGTCAAGTTCGAAAATGAAAAAAAAAAGAAAACACAAAAAACAGATATCAGGTTTTCATAAAAAGGAATTGACCTTTTTTGAAACCTCTGAAAGAAATGTAAAAGTACTTTCAAACCTTTTTATTTTTTATTATGACCGTGTTTTGAATAAATTATTAATTAATATATTTATTTATAACTATTGGGTTGGCAAATAAGTCCTTTCGGTTTTTCAAGGTGAAATAAAACTCAATGTATTATAGATATAAAATTTATTTTAATCTACAATATATTGATCATTATTTAATATGACCTTTTCCCATCTTTCCACTAACTGCATAATGTCATGTTCATAAAATGTCTGCAGTTTATTGTTAAAAAACTGATCCAAGTGGTTCTCTTCCTTTTGGAATTTCTTTCCATTTATGGGGGTCTGCAGAGATCCGAATAAGTGGTAGTCACTTGGAGGTAGGTCTGGAGAATAGGGTGTTAACGCTGCATACGTTCAGATCTTTTTTTTTTTTTTTTTTTTTTCTCTCACCATATTTACCCTTTTAAATGTTAATGGAATAAATATTTATTATTTCTTTTGTAATAGGCTGAGTAATAGTGTTCCAAAATTGTATATAAGTTTATGGTATTTTTATATTTAGGCTTATTTTGCGATGTATTATGGCGTGGTATATACACACCAGCCCGGTAGTAATACCCTGTCTTAGGGATTAAGACATCAAAATACTGCTGGATCCTCGGTCTGGAGCTGGCTGGCCTTTGACGACACTGGGTCCACGTAGTGGACGGCTACCCCACCTTCTGCTCCAGGTTCACCACCTCGACTCACCAGCCTAGCGCCATTTTTTTGAGATCAGCTGTTGGGCGCAACTGAGTAATCGATCGAGATCGATACGACCCCACCATCGATTACTCGACAGCTACATATCGGAAGGTAACCTCCAAGAACCTCCAACTTGGCTTGTTGTGTTTTCTATTCTCACCAAGGCATTTGAACATTTAGTTAACTGTTTTCTTCGCTAAATTAGTTTATTCTTTTGGACAATCATTTTTCTCTCTCGTTTTATTTTTAATTTTAGAAATTGATTTCTTTTGCTATATTAATAATTGTTAATTTGGGTTTATGTTCACTGAGTATTATATTTTGTGTTTTATTCATTTCAGTGAAGTTCATACCACTCTTTATTTGGTTTTAACTATTGTATATATTTTTTATCTCAATAAATTGTAAACGTTCAAAAGGGGATTTTTCATTTTCCATTTTTTGATTCATTAAACATTTCTATTTAATATTATTTTGTTTTGCATGCATTTGTTTTTTTCTTTAATGTTTTACAGGTCTCATTTAATCACTAATTTTTTTTCTCATTCTTTCCCAAAATTTAATTTTTCTCGAATTTTCTCACCTTTGAGGAACCTCACCGGGGAAAGACTTGTACTTCGACTTTAAAGTACCCCTGGCCCCAACATAGGGAGAGTGGGGCAAAAGGCTAAATAATTTATTGCGAGTGACCAATGAGATATGGGGCCTTGCGTTGTCTTGGTGGAAAAGCTTTTTTTGTCATTACCATTATGACAGGTGTGAATAAAAAAATTAAAGTTAAAAAAAAAATTTAAATAATTTTTTGTATCTACAATGTAGAGGCACCTCCCGAATTTTGTTAGTTCGGCATGCCCTTTCTTCTCTCGAGAAATTTTATTGCTCTCCACTTGAATTATTACAAGAAGTTAGTCAACTGTTCTACATATCTTGGGTGATAAATAATCAGGACGCAGTCTTTTTTAAAAAAAAATTAATTTTTTTTATTTATGCCAACGTTTAATAGTTTAGTTAAACAAGTACTTGAACACCCTCAGTGCTCAAACCACGCCCTGAAGATGAACCACATATTTGGGTTGAAACGTTGGCATAAATAAAAAATTATTTTTTTTTTAAAAAAAGGACTGCTTCCAGATTATTTATCACCCATATTGAAAATGAAAGTAAAATCATTTACAATTACATTTGAATTGTAATTTGATCACAAAATCGAGAATATAAGATTGAGGTGAAAAATATGAGCATGACATCCACCGTCTACATATCAAAATAACAAGGTGATCATCGGTCAAACGGCCCAATATAGATCATTTTTTTTTTTCAATTTTCCGATCAAATGATCGTACGATTTAAATGGAAAGGAAATAAGTATTTATGAATTTTTAGCATGAAATTAAAATAATTAATTTAACGAAAAAACGCCAAATTTCTGAGAATTTTCGTAAATAAAAAAATTGTAGGTTACAATGAGATGAAGCCAGTTACGAAGTTTTAGAAGAAAGTTAATAATTTTATAAAAATGGGTCTGTACCATGGAATATAAATTCATGGTTAACTATGTCATTCATAAAAATTGGTATTTTTACTAACAGGCAATGGGCAAAAGGTTCTGTTGTACTCAGGGCCTAGGGAAATACTTGAGTAGCGTTTAGTCAAAGATATTTCTTAGCAGAAGAGTACCTTGGCACCATTAGGCCGGGCAGGCCTAGAAGTCTTAGAGAGAGGACCCTACATTCCTTTTTCCGAGGGTGCCCTGGTGCAGGTTCTGGGTGGTGCATTTTCAAAGGAGCAGGAAACACGAGGGTTTTCGAAAAAGGTTCTCTACCTTAGTTTGGTACCAGATCTTCCAAAGGGGCCGATGGTACTAAAAAGGAACAAGTTATGGGCGACAGAAGGGCATGAAGAACTTGAGGACTTAGGGAAGGTCGTTAAAGAAGAGAAAGGAAAAAAAAATAGACAAAGGCAATTGTTATCAGTGAAGGGACAATGAATATTGGAACAACTCACCAAAGGGGTTTCATTCAAAAATAAAGATGCAAAAATTGAAGAAATTGAAGTCAATATTGTTTGAATCTCATCAAAATTTTTATAATGAACTGATAAAGTTGATTTATTATTATTTATTTTTTAATGTTTATAATTATTGTTGTATTTTAATTTTTTAATTTGTTATTTAAGTCAGAATTTCAATTATGATTTTTACCTTCGATATTTAAATAATGTAAAAGTAAACAATCATATAGATAAATAATACAAAAGTAAATAATCAAATAAATAAATTTAAAAAATAAATAAATAGTTTGAAATTGAATAATCAAATTAATAAATAATATAAACGTTAATATCCCATTTTTTCTCTCAATTAACATCGACAATAATACAATCATTAACAAGAAAACTTTGTATTTAGATATATAACATTCTGTCTCGTGGACATTAATTATAGTGATAAATGAACACATTCACACCATATATATATATACACCAAGAAAATTAGTAAAATCCTATTTAAAAAAAATATTGATGTAGAGATGGTTGACCATGATATAATATGAGGAGTTGGTCCGAGGATGCGGTCAAATGAATATAAAATTTTTAAAAATTTGTTTAATTTTTTAAAAAATTTAGTTTTTATTTGACCGCAGCCTTCAACCAACTCCCCGTAAAAAAAATATTATAATTTTTTTTTTTTTAATAGAATGCTAATGACAAAGACCGTTTTATTGAAAATTAGCTTTTAAAATGTGTTAATTTCATAAAATAAACAGTTAATGAGTACTTTTTCATAGAACAATATGAATACCCCATATATATGTTTAAGACCAGGGTAGTAATGTAATATTATAATTCAGATCACTATCCGAATGGCATCCGAAAATTCTTAATATTAAATATAATGTAATTTAATAAAATTATGTTAAAAGATTTTATTGTTTTTATGGTGGGAATAGATATTGGTTTGATTTATTAATGATTAATAAACTATTAGAACTTAATAATATCCAATATAAAAGAGTAAGAACCCAATAAGAAAAAATAATTACAAATAAAATTCTAACTTAAATAATAAGGGAGTGCTACCATTGGGTAGTCCATAGTGTCTTCACAAGTCGTGTCATTGTTCTTAATTTGTTGTTATTTACTAGTTGTATTTATTTAATACACTTACAAATTACAACAAATAAAAATATCTTAAATAATAAAGTAATAATAAACAATAAAGTAAAATTTATTTTAAAAAAAAGTACTACATCCAAATTGTCAATCCACTAAAAAAAAAAAATCTGGCGCGGTGCGCACATCATTTATCACCCTTATTTTAGCATAAATTGAACAAAGGGAACTAAATATGATACAAAATATAATTTAAAACAATTTATTACATTATCTTTTTCACAGTCTTATTATGTATATTTTTTTGTTACTAACCATTTCTTTTCACCTCTGTTCATTTCAATTATTAATTTCATAATACTAACCAATTAAGTGTCAAGAAATGTTTTTAGTCCAACAGGAGTGCCACTAATAAAAAAGGTCGCTATATTTATTTATGTGTTTTTTTTTTTTTTTTTTTTATATTTGTTTATTTAGAAATATTACATTCTGTCACATCAAGGACAGTTTATTTATGTGTTATAGTAGGTATTTTTATTTGTTAACAATTGGTAAACAATGTATACAAATTTTATAATATATACAAATTATATTTTGTTTTTAAACTTCAAGATCTCACACCATAAATGGAATTCCGAGAACAGTCGAGCACGTCCGAAGGTGAACGGAAGTGACCGTCAGGTTAGTCCCAACCCGAACTAAACAGAAAAGAAGGAGAGAAAGAGAGAAAGAGAGAAAGAGAGGAGAGGAGAGGAGAGGAGAGAGAGAGAGAGAGAGAGAGAGAGAGAGAGAGAGAGAGAGAGAGAGAGAGAGAGAGAGAGAGAGAGAGAGAGAGAGAGAGAGAGAGAGTGTGTGAGAGAGTGGGGAGGAGGGTGAGAGAGAAGAGTGAGAGTGAGAGAGAGAGAGAGAGAGAGAGAGAGAGAGAGAGAGAGAGAGAGAGAGAGAGTGGGGAGGAGGGTGAGAGAGAAGAGTGAGAGTGAGAGTGAGAGAGAGAGAGAGAGAGAGAGAGAGAGAGAGAGAGAGAGAGAGAGAGAGAGTGAGAGAGAGAGAGAGAGAGAGAGAGAGAGAGAGAGAGAGAGAGAGAGAGAGAGAGAGAGAGAGCTGGTGGGAGATTATGGTGGTTATAGTGTTCTATAAGTTGGCTCAGTGTTATTTAATATGGTTTTAATATTTCTAGTTAACTTTCCTGATCAATTTCTGTCAGAAAAGTCTCCTTTAACACTTTTTTAGTGAAATCATATGAAAATATATAGAAATCAAGATCACTTTAGTTTCTCAGAGAGAAGATAAAGAAGCAATTAGAACAACCTTAATGTGTCTTTTTTTCACTGGTTAATATACTTTACTTATTTAATATTGGAAATTTAGCTAAATTGGAGTGTGTTTATTGTTTTTAGTTATTATTATTTCCACAATTTTATTATTAGATATAACAGTTTACTAACCTATAACCTTAATATAATTGACTTTACTTACACATATTTAGATTAATAAGTTCAGCTATACTATATAATTATACTTATAACCCATTTTATTTTTAACACTTTGGATTTAATGTTTATTAACTATATATATTATATGCACACATTTTATTATTAGATTTAAGAGTCTACTAACCTAAAACCACAATATATTTTACTTTACTAACATATATTTAGATTAATAAGTTAAGCTATACTATATAATTATACTTATAGCCTTTTTTTTATTATTAGCACTTTAGATTTAATGTTTATTAACTATATATACTGACAAATACTTTATCCTAACCTATTGTATTTGTATTCATTATATTTTATCCTAACCTATTGTATTTATATTCATTATATTTTATCCTAACCTATTGTATTTATATCTGCTTTTTAACAATTGTGTATATTTAAATGTTTGGACTGGTTGATATGCTTTAATCAAATAACTATTATTATTTTATTCACTATTGTTAGTTTTAGATTTTTTAGATAATATTTTTAAACTTGTTTACCATTCTGTCTTCATGTTTGGTCTATGTTTTTAATCCATTTTAACTATTATTATTTTATTGAATACTTTGTTCTAACACTGACATAGAGTTTTATACCTTTTCACTATTTTGTATGTATGTTTAGACTGCAATAAGTCAGATAGAAGTATATTATACTTATAGCAAAAGTCGATTATCCAAATTGATTGATTGAAATTTTCACTTGAGTAGTTTTATTCATCACTTTAATATTTAAGATCTCTAGTTCTCAACTTAACCTACTGCAAGTTGCTTCATTTGGTGCTTCTATTATATTTCCTCTTGAAGATTACCTTGCACCATATCCCCTATTACTACTGCAAGAAGTACAGAAATGGAGGAAGGTGAAAAACAAACTCCTTTTCAATCACGTAAAAAGCTGCATGTGTCTCCAGCACCCGATAGAGCAATAGTAAATAAAGGAGCACTGACAAGTGGCGGGGAGAGCAGCGAGATAGGAGGAGCCAAAGAGACATCACACAGTCAGCCTAGTTCTTTGAATAGTAACAGCCAATGCAGCCGTGACGTCACCGAATCTTATCACGATACTTCGCAGCAAACAATTACATCACCTGATCGGAAACATACGTGTCATGAGGCTATCGCAGAGAAGAATTTAAGTTATAAGAACGTAAATGAAGAAAACAGCCGAATAATAATAAAACTGCAAGAATTTTTACTGAATGCCCAAGCAAAACAAATAAGCAAGACGGCAGTTGAGACGGTTCTTGCGGCGGCACGTAAACTGGAGGATAACTGTAACAAGCTCATAATTGAAAATGCAGAATTAAACGGCGAAATAAGAGTATTAAGAAACCAAGCCTTCTGCCCTACACCTGTTACTTTCGAAACGCATGGTCTAGAGACATTAAAGCTGGTAATGAAGGACATAATAAATGAGGAGGTTAAGCCTCTCGTCACTGAAAAGGTCGATACCACGAAAAAACAATCTTATGCCTCTACATTAGTTGGGAAAAGACAGGAAACTCCTATTGAACCTCCGAGTTCAGTGTACATAGCCCAGACAGACCTAAGCAGGGAAAAATATCCCACTGTACAGGAATTGAAACAGGGGATAAAGAAAAGTTTCACGCCTGCTAAAGAAGGAATCAAAATTAGAGGACTGGTAGAAACAACAAGGGGTGTAATAATTAGGACTCAAACAAAAGAAGAAGCTACGAGGCTCGCTCAGTCGGAGAGAATAAAAGAACTCGGCGCTAAAGTAAACTTGGAGAATAAACGGCTTCCAAGAATAATTATATACGATGTCCCAAGTGACCTGGAGCAAGAAAAGATTGTCGAACTGTTCTGGACCATAAATGCAAAAAAATTAGATCCTAATAAGCAGCACTTCAGCCTTGTTTTCAAGACAGGTCCAAGAGGAAGAGATACAGTTCATTGGGTGGCGGAAGTGTCCCCGGCGGTGAGAAATGAAATATTGGCAGAGGGAAGAGTTTTCCTGGATTGGTCATCCTGCAATGTGAGAGACTGGGTGGCAGTGACACGATGCAATAAATGCCAGGGTTTTTCACATATAGAAAAATTCTGCCCCGCAACTGTCGTAAACTGCGGCTACTGTAGCGAAAGAGGACATGTTTCAGGAGACTGCCCAAAACAAAAGACCGGCGGACCGCCGAAATGCATAAACTGCAGTAAAACCAACTCAGCATCTAACCATCCGACAAATGACAAAGACTGCCCATCATACAAAAGAGCAATTGAAAGGTTAGTAATGAGGACAAAATATAACGACAATGAATAATAATTCTGCCCTCCGGATAGCCCAACACAATCTAAACAAGAGACCGCTTGCAATGTCAGAATTTAGACGCATGGCCTCACTAAATAACATAGATATTGGAGCTCTTCAGGAACCTCCTACTAAGAGAGGGAAGGTGTCTGGAACTGAACCGCAAGACCGCACCATTGCTAGCAATGGAAGTGGGTTACACGATGCACCACAGAGTGCAGTAGTGGTGTTTAATCATTGCCTTACAATTACATCACAGCCTGATCTGGAAGATAGATTTATTTCAGTTGCCAATGTAGATTACGTAGGCATTAACTTTGACTTGATCAATGTTTATGCAAAATTCGCACTCCCACTGGAAGACATACTGACAAAATTGCAGCTGGTAGTACGGAAGCTGAGTAAGAACATCTTAATAATGGGCGATTTTAATGCTCACTCAATTTTGTGGGGCAGCCGAAGAACCGATAGAAAAGGCGTATTGCTGGAGGATTTTGCTGCAAGGAATGGCCTAACCATTGTAAATGATCCCACGGCCTTGCCAACGTTTTCGGGATCCAGCGGAGAATCATTTATCGATATAACTCTGGCATCACCTGGCATTGGCCAGCTTATTAGCTTTTGGAAAGTCGAGGATTGGACCTGCAGTGATCACCGGGTGGTTTTATTTGAAATAAACCTAAACAATCGAGAAAAGCGATACCATAAGGAACGTTTTGTGACGGAGGGAGCTGAGTGGGAGCGTGTTGCTGAGAATATTGCATGGCACCTAACAGAGCTGGAGCAACACCATCATATGGAATTAGAAAAAGAGGCAGCGAAAATTTCAACAGAAATTTTCACAGCGGTTAAGGAGGTGTTGCCCATAACACGAGAGTCAATAAGAAATGGACAAGTATGGTGGAACACACAACTCACAAGCCTGAAGCGGGAGACGTACAGAGCAAGACGCCGATTTCAGCGAGAAAACGATGCTGTTACCAAAAGAAATGTCAAAAAAGCATATTACGAACTTAATAAGAGTTTCCAAAAGGCAATAGGAAAAGCAAAGAAAGAGACATGGCACCGATACCTAGACCAATGCAAAAGCCCTTGGGGACTAGCCTATCGGAGAGCCCTTGATAAAATCTCAAATAGAAACTCCTTCACATCGTTTATGCATAACGGGGATGCAACCAGAACGGCAGATGAGGTTGTTAATGCTATAATGGTGAGATCTTTCCCTGAAGACGAACTAACTTCGGACACAGAAGACCATGCTCACAAAAGAATTGCAATGTGTGAACTTCCGCAAACCGAAGATGCGCTTTCATGGGAAGAGGAAGACGTGAGGTTGGCTATAGGACAACTCCGATTGGGAAAGGCACCAGGACCGGATATGATAGGAGCTGATATCCTTAGAAATACAAAAAACGCACTGATTAAGCCTTTAACTACGTTCTACAACCGATGCTTCAATGAAGGCATTTTCCCCTGTATCTGGAAACAGGCTGAGCTGGTTACTATCTTGAAGCCCGGTATAACAGAAGTCACTGCTAAATCTTACCGCCCAATATGCCTCCTAAATGTAATGGGGAAAGTTCTGGAAAGCCTAATGCTGCAACGCCTAAAAGACGTGACCGATTTGCTCTCTCCTGATCAATTCGGAGGTCGAAAAGGACAGTCGACAACGGATGCCATCAACCAGCTCATATCAACAGCTAAGGACTCGCCCTATAAATATTTTGTAGTCCTCTTCTATGATGTTGCTGGCGCGTTCGATAATATGTGGTGGCCTGCTATTATGGACGAGCTAAAGAAACTAAAATGCCCCAGAAATATATACAGGCTCATATTATCATTTTTATCGGGGCGCTCTGTCTACTATCAACTTCCGGGAAGGAGAATAACGAGGCCAGTCCAGAGGGGTTGTGCTCAGGGATCAGTTTTGGGACTCCCCCTATGGAATATCAACATGAACCCTCTCCTTGTTAAATTGAGAGCTGCCGGGTATACGCCATCTGCTTACGTGGACGATTTTGCTGTTGGAATAGAGGCAAAATCACGACAAGATTTGGAAATAAGGGCAGCGGAAGTCACTGACATAATCTTGCAATGGTGCCAGGAAAATAAACTCTCTTTAAATTTTCGGAAGACTCGACTCCTGTTTTTGAAGGGAAAAATGGTAGGGTTTCTCCCCAGAGTAAAGTTAGGAGATGTCCTAATAAAACCATCTCAGGAAGTGAAGTTCTTGGGAGTCCTATTGGGCGAGAGGTGTAACTTCACTAACCACCTAAAAGAAATTAAGAGCAAAACTATTGTCCGTTACAGTTGCCTTAAAACGATGGCGGGGACCACCTGGGGTCTCAAATATGGTTACCGGGAAACCCTATATAAGGCTTCTTTCTTGCCTATTGCATTGTATGCGGCGCCGGTCTGGGGCCAGAAACTGAGACAGTCAGACATCAGTGTGCTGGAGCAAGCTCAAAGAAGATCTCTCCTACTGGTGACAGGAGCGTACAGAACGGCACCCACTTCGGCTTTGCAAGTAATTACAGGACAATTGCCTATAGACCTGAAAATACAAATATCTATAGCCAAATATAGAATAAAGAGAGGAGTGCCAGCAAATGTGGGAACAAGCTGTTTTGTGTGCCCTAGTGGAAGGTACGACGAGGTGGCCAACAGAATAGAAGAACTAGTCCTTTCTGAATGGCAGAGAAGGAGGGATGCATGCGAGACTGGAAGACTGACCCATGAGTTCTTCCCAGATGTCAGGAGAAGAATCAAGAATGACTGGGTGGAGACGGATTTCTGGACAGTTCAACTCCTCACAGGCCATGGAGACATAAATGAAAAATTACATTTTTTTCATAGAAGAGCCAGTCCGAATTGTCACTGCGGGGCTGTTGAGGACGCTAGACACATAATTTTGGAATGTCCAATGTACACTGGCGCCCGACAAGCATTGGCAGGAGAGTACTCCATGTTGGAATGGCCTCCTCAGTCTCTGGACAAGCTTGTGGAGACACCTGAGATATTTGATGCCTTTAAGAAATACGCCAGGAGGATATTCCATGAAAAAATAGCGAGAGAGGAAAGAATAAACCGGTGATATACCAAATACATACATTTATTGTTATCATAAGATTTAGAAATAGTATATATAAACTTAGTAATAGGCCCACAATAAGTAGGTAGGAAGTTACTGGAGTCCTGTTTGGTGGGAACAGCCCTCCAGTTGCAGGCAGCCCATTAGTGTAGGTTTACCCGTAATAATTAATGCCCCAATCAAACTAAAAGACCGAATTTTGCCTCACTTTGACCCAAGAATTTGGATCAAAGTGAGAGCAGACCTGCCCGCTTGGTTACCAATCCTGGTGACCGAGCCCTTTAAATTCGTGGCATATTTTTCAGTTAGAAAATTGGATGTACCGCTGGTATAGGGTTGCCCTAAGGTACAGCGGGGGGAAAGAAGGAAAAAAAAAAAAAAAAAGAGAGAGAGAGAGAGAGAGAGAGAGAGAGAGAGAGAGAGAGAGATGGGAAGAAGGTAGAAGGGGGGGGGGAGTTGACTGATTGATCAATGGCTTAATTTTTTTTCTAAATACTGCAAAGCGAAACTTCTCAAAATAACGTGTAATTAATAATACAATTATGAATTAACTTGTCGCAATCTAATTCTGTAATTCCATGGTGATTTTTTTATTTGCGTTCAGCAGAGAAAAATACATTATCATCAGATATTTTTGAGCAAGGAAAATTTCCTTTGGTGGCCACTGTTCCATATTCCTTATGGAGAAAACATTAAATATGAAGATGCTAGATTTTTGGTCTTCTCGCATCACAAGTATATTCATATTAGCAAATGAAGTAAATATATTATTAAATCAAAATCATAATTATTTATTTTTACTTTTTATTTTATTTTGTTGCGTCAGGTGACTTCTTGTTAAACCTTTCTTCTCCATTTATTTTTTAACCTGCAATATCCTTAGTTTTTTCATTGACATCAGACCATGCTCGGATTCTCCCTCGAGAGGTGAGATCGGGTTTCCCACGAGGTTACCAACTGACGGCGGAAACATCTGGGATTTCGGAGCAGGCCTTCTTGCAAGCGGATTCTGTCGGAATGAAGCATCGCTGAGGTCGTATTTTTTTTTTTTGTAACTCAATTCGTTGTACATGTAACTCAACAATTCGTTTGTAACTTCTTTTTTTAATTTCATTTTATTTTTTATTTTTTCTATTAAAGGAGTAAATTACAATATTTAGAGGCAATAGTGGTAGTAACATAAAAATAAATGCTTGCGAGCTAAATATCGAAAAAAAAAATGACAATATAGGTCGAAAACAACTTTACTTCAATAAATCGTGTCTCTATATTTTTTTTTTATATTGATCTACCTCTTAATCAAGTTATAAAATATAGATATTTCGATATATAGATACTTTTTCACATACCATCTAGAATATTCTATATTGAACCAATCATTTACATTTCTATAAAATTTAATAATTCATTTAAAATTGATTATTGAACAAACTATGAAATGAGGCCAAATTATGAAAGTAAATTTTATTATTATTTTTTTTTTGGATTTAAATAGGAACTTATTTAAATGAAATTAAATATATTACTCTGTGGTATAGAACTTTTTAAAAAAATTATTAACATCGGACTAAATCTTCTTAATTTTATTTTAACCTAGAACTTTTTGATCTGGAGTTCGGCAAAATTGTCATTTAATTAGGTACTGAAAACTCATCAACACATACTTGCTTTCCACTTGAATCATAAGATAACATGACCGCAAAATTTAGAAAAAAAGGTGGCCTGCAAAAATATTGGGCCGTTAGGCCTGACCTTTATCCCCAACATGTCAATATAACGAGGTTATATAGGCCAGAAGGCACAATATTATTGTATGCCACATTTTTTTTTTCCATCAAACTGAATTACGATTTAAACGGAAAGCAAAAATAGATCTTAATAGGTTTTAGTTTTACATCTTTAAAGGGCACGTATTGGAGAATTTGCTGACCTGTTTGGGTAATAAGGAAAAACCTAGAAAATTACAGTATCTAAAATTTGAAAACATGGATGGATACCAGGGAAAAAATACTATATCTATGAAATATTAAATTAAAAATATATACATATGCAAATAAAATAGAATTAAGAGATTATAGATAAGAGTACAATGTGAATAAAAACAAAAGTGGAAGAAGTAAAACGTACATAGACGTACATTTTCTAAGTTATTCCCCATTGGCCAAACAAGCAGCAAATTCTCCAATACCTGCCCTCACTCTGGTTTTCCAGTTCTAAGTGAAACTCCTAGCTGAACACACCAGGAAGTGTCTAATTTTATTTACTTCTTTGGTTTTCCTTTTCTTTTCTTTCTCCACATTCCTTTATGTCTATTATTTCATATTATATCCTTTTTCCTTTTCTTTCGATCTCTCCTATAGATCTGTAGAAGTATATTCACATTTACATTTATTATATATTACACTACAACAATTGTTACTATTTACTTCAGTTTAGGATCTTGTTACTTAGCTTACTCTGTTCATATTTTAATGTACTTATAGTTTATAATTTTAATAAGCTTATTCACATTGTTTATAATTTTTTGCCTAAATATTATGTAACTTCCACAATTCTCTATCTTTTTGTATCTTGTCCGTTCTAGCCCTGAAGAAGACCTGCAAAGTCGGGTCGAAACGTTGGCTTTTAATAAAATAGTTTTACCACTATTAAGCCTATTTATGACCGCCACCCCGGACCCTCTCCTTCCATTATAATGCAACGGTCAACTATCTTATTCAATATGAATGTTTATATTGCTAACTTATACCGAATAATAAGAAAATAAGAATTAAAGAAGAAATGTCGATAATATAAACTCTATAATCTTATTTTCTTTGTATTTAGTAATGTTTAGTGGTTGCTTTTTTTTTTTTTTTTTTTCAATTTTAATCAATATATTTTTAGAAAATTCCCTGACTGTCTGATCAGTTCAACGAAAATTCCTAACTCTTACTTTTTCTTGTCTGTAGACATTCCATATTAAAAATATTTGTGTGTTTCTCTTTATTTAATCACTAAGATATGGTCATGAAATAGCAGATTACGGTATCATGATGTTAATGAATGGCATCATTAACCTAATGTATGGTGCGTATATAATTATCAATTACCGAGTGAAATATAGCCTCCCATCATCATATACATATACAGTATATATACTGATATACACACCTCTCCTAGGAGGATAGCAATAAAGCTGATCCTCCGGGACAACTAATTCCTGGAAGCAATCACCGCATCAATAACCGCCGCGGATGATGATGATGATGATGTCCTGATGATAAGCCTCCCCCCCGCCCCCTCCTGCGGAGCTATCGATTAGTGCGAGTCGACTTAGCTATCAGCTGATGGATTAGCTACCTAATCAGTATTACAATATAATATCTACAAAGTTAGATATTATACCACTACCACTACAATTTATGAATGGCGTCGGGTTCAATAGTTTGTAAGAAAGTAGTGTTTCAAGTTGGTTGTTGTTGTTGGTTTGGGCTTTAAGGTGTAGAACCCTAGGGTCCTCAACGCCTGTGAGTCAGTTATTTTGGTTGTATTTTGACTTCAGAAACTCCTTAGAAGAGAAAAAAAAACTAATGAAAAACTAATAATAAATAAACAGAATAATATATGAAAGATATTCAAGAACATATGAAAAAAAAAAAAAAAACGCTGCAAATTATTTCACACTGGTTTATTATTTCCCAACAATTATAAATCTAAAGTAAAATTACTTTTGGAGTGACAAATTAAAAGAAATAAAAAGTTAATTCCAATTATTTGCCTGAACATTTTTTTTAATCATTAATAATTCGCTAAAAAAAAAATAGCATTACTTCAGTAACACATTCAAAATTTAAAAACCAAACAAAGGATATAACATTTGGAGTAGAACATATAAAAAAAAAACTGGAGACCATATCTTTGCTCCTATTTATCCCATTTTAACGATTTTTTTTTTTTAGGAAATTCCTTAAACTTTATACAATATCGACAAAAAAGTGTATAGTTTTTGAGTTATTCGGAATTAAATTTTACCAACCCCGTAACTTTTTTTCCAGTTTGTTTTCGTTGAAGTATGTTATATAGATAAATTTAAAGGGCGTCGAGAAGAAGACTATAGCCAAGTTTCATTGAAATCGGTACATCCGTTTAGGCGCCATAGTCTATAGCAACGTTGGTTTTCGGCCGCCATTTTGATAGTAATGTCGATGAAGGAGGATCATCCTCGGGTGACCTCTGATTTTAAATACAAATTTGAAAAAATCAGTTCAGTAGTTTCGGAGAAAATGCGCGGACGGCGGACGGACAAAAAAGTTTTTATTCATTTTTCGAATTCTACGTATTCTGAAACGTAATACATCAAATTTTGAGAGGAGGTTACGTTTATAGCTACGCAGTTTTTTCAGCCGCCATTTTGATAGTAATGTCGATGAAGGAGGATCATCCTCGACTGACCTCTGATTTTAAATCCAAATTTAAAAAAAAAAAAAAACGGTTCAGTAGTTTCGGAGAACGGCTGACGGACAAATAATTTTTTATTCTTTTTTCGAATTCTACGTATCCTGAAACGTAATACCTCAAATTTTGAGAGAGGGTTAAAAGTTTTTGAACTTTTTTTTTTCGATTACAATGGTCCATTATTGAATATAATAAACCAAAATAAAATAAATAAAAAATACAATAAAATAAAAATTATATTTATTTCTACATTTTATTTAACAATCTATGGATTTTAAGAAATTTTATAACTGTTTTAATGTTTGATTAGTCATTGTTTAATCCTACTGATATACTCGGTCCCAGAGATAATCTGTTTAAGCTTGAGGTATAATAAGGGCATTCCTGAAAAATATGGCTGACAATTAGATGGCTATTGCAGTGATGACATTTTGGTATTGGCTCTTAATAATAAGATGTAAATGAGTTAGATTCGTGTGTCCTATTCTTAATCTAGTGACTAGTGTTCTCAGCGATTAGTACGGACTGATGTGGTCCAAGACTTCACTGATTTTTTTAACAGATTTCAATTTGTTGAATTAAAAAGCATGAAGTTTAAAAACTAGTATACCTTCCTATTGTCATATATTTACTGCCGACTAAAATTCACCGCCAACTATACTGGAATTTCATGGAGAAATGACGAATATTAGTTCTCATTTTTTTTTTCGCTACACCATCTCATCATTAACTCTCCACCAAGCCTAATCATTGAGGCATCATTTCGAAGATTATTTTTTCATTCAAATGGTAAAAAAAATTACAGTACCCTTCAATAGTTACATTTCAGGAAAAAATGTGAAAAAGAAAAGGGATCTCTTACGCATAAGTCAAAAAGTATTAAATTTACATGATACATACAAAATTCCCTACAAAACAAATAATATATATATACATACACACATACATATAATTGAAATTGGACTAGCAAAAATACAACCTTTGTACACGTTTTATAATTTTTTAATTCGACCGAGAAAAAGAAAATTAATTTCTCTATCTTCTCATAAATTGCATTAGTTTGTATAATCTTTATATTATTTTATCATTTGCACGGACCAATCAGGACAAAAATAAAGTACGCCCCACTACTTAAAGAAAAATAAGATCAAGAATACACCGTTTCACAATCGAAATCAATAATTCCTTAAAATGCAGTAACACAGCATAAAAAGTATAAGAATGAAAGCAAGATTTAATTTAAAAACTATGAAAGGACAATAAAGGGATTTTGAAAAAAACAAAACCAGTCATATTCTTAAAAATAAAGTCTATAATCTATAAATTTGTAAATACTAACTTGTAAGAACCTCAAAGCAGCAATTCATCTCTCGCACAGACAAAACTTTGAGATAATGATATCGAGAAGCGTTTAAATCGACTTATCATCTCATTATCGCTCGATTCAGTGGTTCGACCGTAAAACCTATCTCTGACAGTTGCCAGTAAATTTGTGGTGCGATATGAACTTGTTAGATCCGGGTCCATTGAGAATGCTAGATATGGAACTCTACTCATTCCAACAACAAATCATCTAATCATCCACAATCTCTTCC